CAGGATTGCGCGAAGAGAATCCGAATTATTACGAGAGTTCATTACCCAGTTCCAAAAGGAAAGGATGTTACTACCGGCAATCCCGGATGAATGGACAGCTGAAGCGTTCACCAAAGTTTTAAATCCGAGAAGTTCAGACACTTCCCGGAAGTTAAAGGAAAGTCTACTCGAGTTTCAGGTGACGACTTGTGCAGATGTCCACAACTGGTACGAGTCGAAAATAAGGATCGAAGACGATCATGTTGGATTTCCATCGTCGACCAAAGGATGAGAGAAGAACAGAGAAAAAATGAAAGATGATATTGGCATGGATAGACAGACTTCAAGGGGCCGGTTTTTGCCCTACGAGCGGATAAAAGGTCGTGGCAGGAGCTTCCGGACAACAGATAAGTTCACCATTGATAGAAGGACCGATCGTGGCTGGAACAATAGATCGCTGCAGGATAAAGAAATCTCGGGGGCGCGAGATTTTTCTTACCCAAAGTTATCAGAGTATAACTTCAACATTAGTGTGATGGAGTTGGTATCAGCCATGAGAAATATCATAGAGGCACAATTCCCGAGACCTATGAGATCTTATCCAAGCCATAGGGATCCCAATTTATGGTGTGAATACCATGGCACTAACGGTTACCGGACTGGAGACTGTCGACACCTCCGGGAAGAAGTGGTAATACTGTTAAAGAATGGTCACCTCAGAGAATTCTAATGTGACCGAGCTAAAAACAATTATGGTCGGAACCGGGACGATGCAAAAACCTCAAAAGCAGGAGAAGAACCCCACGCCAAACCTCGAAGCCGCATATGAAGAGGACGCAAAAGGCAAACTTGTGCAAATATTCATAGAAACCCTCATGTAAAAGGGAAACATGTGCAAATATTTATAAAGACCTTCATGTAAAAGGGAAACTTGCACAAATATTCATAAAAACCCTCACGTAAAAAGGATAATACTCAGAATCAAAATGCTTCAAAGAAAAGGCATCCGAGGCTACACATAGTAAAGCGCGAATTGAACAACATGCGCAAAATACTTGAGCAAATGCAAAAGTTAAAGGCTTGCATAGATATTCAAATGAAAGTAAGACTAAAACGGCACTTAAACAAAAAGAAGAAAATATGTCTTTATTTACACGAACGGGCCAAAATGTTACAAGTACGAAACGGGAAAAGACAAGTAAAGCCAAACTGAAGTACTTCCGGGCCCAGGATAAAGAGAAGTGTCCTCGCCCTCGGGAGTGGTAGATGGTTCCATCGATGGCTCGAGATTTCCCCCAGTCTGATCTTCAATATCGTCGCCCTATGATTCTTCTTCAGTTCCTGAAAATTTGGAACCAAAACCAGATGAGACAGATACATCGAACCTCGATAGAAGGCCAGTCTTAGCGGCTAACTCAAGATCATGTGCCTTAGCAATTTCGGCATCAATATCAATGACACCAGCTTTGGCTTCTTCCAAGGTTTTTCTCCTCATGTTGTACATGGTGTAAGTGTTTTCAACAACAAGGGAAGCCTTTCGGCGCTTGAGTTCTTCTTTGAGTTGGGTTATCTCGGCAGAAAGATTTTCCCGAGCAGACTTAACAGATTTAAGGCTGACATCAAGCTCGCGAACTGTTGAACTAAAGAGCCTGTTATGCTCGATAGTTTTCCTGTACTTCTCTTCTAGCTGGGAATGTTTCTCCCCCGCGACAGCAAGCTCTTCGACTTTGGAGTTCAAGGTTGTTTCCAAGTTAGTTACCCTTTCAGCAGCAGCAGCCTCGCGCTCGGTTGCAATAAGAATGGCGTCCTGGAATTCAGCCCATTTAGCCTTGGATTCATCAAATCTAGCCCTCAACAGGCCAACTTCTTGGCTAAGGGTTATCACTTCTTGCTCGCTTTGCTGTAAACGAGCTTTTAAAACATCGGCCATGGTGGCTCTGGTTTCCAGTTATGAGAGACGGAGAATGGTTTGGTCCCGTTCTACCAAAAGTTGATCCCGTTCAGAAGTAAGTCCTTCCTTCTCATGAATCAATATTTGAAGGCCCTTAGAAGCAAGAAAGTTGGCCTGCAAAACAAGAAGAGGTAAAACTTAAAATAAATTCATTCAAAAGTAGGAGAAATAATAGAGGTAGAAAGAAACATACCGTTGCGGCATTATGCATAGCATTGTTCAACAAACACTCTCGAGAGAGTGTCTGAATATTTTTCCAATCCTTCTCTAAAGCCAAAGGCTTCAGATAGTTAGCAAGCTCCACTGGTCGGGAAAGAAGATTGCACCCAGTAGAGACCGAAAGAGTAACATTCCTCCCCCTCTGAGGATCTTCAAAAGGGAAAACATAATGTTTCCCCAAATTCCCATGAACTAGGGACTGTGGAAGAGGAACGCCTTTTTAATGGTCAGGTGCGGCCGCTGGAGATAATGTTGCTGGTGGAAGAATGGATGAAGATGGAAGTGATGTAGCAATTGCTGGTATTGGAAAAGGTGGTGATGAAGTTGATGGGGTAGAAGAATGAGAAACGGCTTTGTCAAAAGCCCCTGGATGTTGGGTACTCACCAACCGAATATGGCAAGGACCCAGTACTCTGCCTTGCAGTACCGGGCACAACAATTGGGGCCCGGGAACGGAAGTTGGCATTATCTACCAAATCAAATTCTCCCCAAAGTGCCGAGACATCATCCTCGATTGGTATGACTGTCTCAACAGGTTGAACATCCAGTTGAGATGATAAGGATCATCGCCTTATATGAAGAGAAGCTCCCTCATCACTAGCTTCTTCATCACCATAAATCATCACAGTGTCTATGACCGGCCCGGAAGGAAGACCAGGGGTCATTACTACCAGAGATAGCCCGGGGACAGCAGTCTTCGCCCGCTTATTCTTCTCCCCGGCCACGTAGGAACGTCTTCTTTTCGGTTGCTTATCTTCTGGCCAAGGACTCCGTGAAGATGTGGTTGCACCCAAAACAGGCCCGAAGATTCCGGTTAGAAGGAGAGCTTCCTGAAGCAGCCTCGCTGCATCAGCGAGATCAGCCAAAACGTCCTCCTCGGGGACAGTAATAGAGCCCACAGGTAGACCTAATTTCATAAACAAGTTAGAAGGGTTCAATCGATATGCAAAGCATAGAAAGATGGAAGCAGGGTAAGTTCAAATTACCATGATTTTTGGCCTTCCACCCGTATTTCAGGGCCAACTCTTTCCACAAGCGGGTGTCGGGCGTTGTGATGTCCAAAATTTTTTGAACCCACCAGTCTAAACCTTTCACCACCGGTGGGACCCATCGAGTAGCTAAAACATACGAAGAATGAAAACACGGCCATAAAAGAATATTTAATGAAAGAAGGAATATTAGAGATCTTACGAGCGCGGTTCCAAGCGGCCGAAAAGGATGAAGCCGTTGTTGGAATAATACTTCTAGTGGCATCCGCCGCGAACCATTTCGTCCACCCACGGTCACTATCATCATTCATGCTAGTCAACAAAGCATGGTGACCTCGTTTGCAGAGATTTATCATCCCCCCCTCCTGGAAAATCTTGGGGGAGTAGAGATTCATTATGTGAGCTAATTGTTAGCTCTTCTCCAGTTTCTTGGCACAAGCGTCGAAGGTAGGCAACCGTCCTCCACACAGAAGGACTTACCTGTGCCAAACACACCTGATAGCGGAGGCAAAATTCCGCAATCATGGAATCAAGCTCTCCACTCAAAGAAAACGCACCCAAAGTAAAGAGATACGTGTAAAAGTATGTAAAACCTTCCTTTGGAAGGGTCACTCTCTCCGATAGATCAGGAACGATAATATCCAATTCACGGCAACGACAATCTTCCTTCACAGCGGGAATACTGGAAGGACGAATGAAAGAAGGGTACCTTCTAACAGCCCATGTACGAGGGTTAGCAAAAGGGAATTTCTCCTCAAAATTCTTTGCGGTATTGAGTCTTTTTGGTATGATGGAGTCTACGGTTGGAGCGACAAAGTCGTCGGTTTTGTTTTTGCCTTTTGAAGAGCTAGTACGTTTTGAGGAGGAAGCAATCGAAAAAGAGAACGAATTTTTTCTGTTTGAAGAAGATGAAGACTCAATAGGCGAAATAAGATGAAGGAAGTTGGAACACAAGGGGGGAAGTTGATACGTATAAGTAAAGTTTTGGCGGTTAAATCCTTGGCTAAGATTACCTCGATAACCGGCAAAAGGTGTGCTAAATCATGGGAAGATGTGTGTTCGGGGTATTAAATACGGAGAGATAGGCGTCTAATCAACCGCCAGTGGTCTTCAAAAGGAATTATTGTAATTCCTGCCAAAAGAGTGTTTCTACCAACTTCCCGACAACACAAAGTTATGTCACCGGAAAGCAGGGGAGCTATCTGTATTAGGTAAAATATGTTATGGCACGTGGCCACCCAAGAAGGGGACACGTGGAACCTAAGCAGGGAGGACGAAAAACCGGACGCAACTATCCCGTGTGTCGCCGGAAAAGATAACGTTCATGAAGGCATTGAATATTCTGCGCCCGGTAGCATTCAATGAGGAATATTCTACAGTATTAAGAGCAATGGCCCGTTATAGAGAATTTGACATTTATGTTCACCGTTACGTCTTCATCAATGCTTCTCGTAATTAACATTAAAGAAGGGCACGACCCAAGTACCTTCTTCATAGCTATAAATAATAAGCTCAATGATCATTGTAAGGGACACAGATTTTTTGGCTAACTTATACTACATTCTATATAGAATTTTAATACTACCATTTTGCTTTCTCACTTTTTGATCTCATCATTATTGTGCCCGGAAACTCTGTTTCCGGACTCATCAGTTGTGACATTTCATTTATATTTTAAGGCTAAATATTTTATATTTCATCAGTTATTTTATTACTTTTTGGATCAAATTAATTCACTTATCTAAAAAGCAGGAACAAATTCAATCGTACCATTTTACGGGTTAACAACAATACATACAAATACTACTACAGCTGAGCTGTCAAGCGGTACTCTTAATATCAACCAAAGTTACTAAGAAAAACAAATCCAAATTTTATTTGTCACCTTTCCCATACTTGCTACTCTTCTTTCATGGCTAAACACTCCAAAAAAAGCTACACATATCTCAGAAAAAAGAACTACTAAAAGAACTATTCTTTCTTGCTTGTTTTTGAAGATTTCTATCCCATAAAACTGCTAAACAAACAAGCTGTTTCACACAACAACGTTCCTGCACAAAAGTTGGATATTCAAAAAACAAAAAAGGTGAAGGAATGTATGGTAATTCCCCTGCATATACCAAAACTAAAGAAGGGTTAGTTTTAAAGAAGAGAGAAAAGCAATTAAACATGGAGTCAGAGTATGCAAACAGCAATATGCGGAACAGTAGTACTACTTCTGGATTGTTAAGGTTTAGTTCAGCTCCAACTTCTTTTCTTGCAAATTTCACTGATAAAGTTGTCAAGAATGGGAATTATAAGAATGGTTTGGGTTCAAAATTGAATCTTGGTAGCAGTCTTGGTTTGAATAATTCACAGCTGCCACCTCCATATCCAAGGCATAATTCAATAAATGGGTATAGGGTTGTCAGTTCAATGGAAATGGATCGTCAAAGGCAAAACAAATTGGGATCAAATCTTATGAGACAAAACAGTTCCCCTGCTGGCTTATTCTCTCACCTCAATTCTCAAAATGGTACTGTTTGATTATTTTATTTATTTATTTATTTATTTATTTATTGTTGATGCATTCATTTCTTTCTTCTTTTGGAAAGTCACTTTTAGATTTGTATTGTACTTTTGTTAGAAGTTGATGAGTTGAAAACATATCCCTTTGCTTAAATGAATACCAATATTCAATAGGGGCAATTTGACCCTTTATATATACTCCAATTGGATTGCTTTATTTCACTTTGTTATGTAAAAAGATTCCTAATTGTGTTGTTATTTTCATTTTTCATCTTCTTTTAAGACTTCTATAAAGGGAAAAGTTGCAATTAATAAAGTGTTAATCGTCGTTTTTTTGCCGAGGGTCTATCGGAAATCATATTTCTGACCTTCCAGGATAGGTATAAAGCTGCGTATACCCTACCCTACCCTCCCCAGACCCACTTGTGGGATTACACTGGGTTGTTGTTGTGGTACTAATCGTCGTTCTCAACTAGTTAAATATTTTACCAGCAATTTAATTTGCAGGTAGTGGTGTTGGAGGTTATAGAACGGCAAATGGTGCCAATGGAGATACAGTTTCACCTTCTTCCTTGGGGATGTTGTCTCGAATCAACGAGGTCGAGAATGAGATCAGCAGACTAACAACTAGCCTTGGTGATGACCAGTCTGGAAATGGAAACTCAGAAACTCAATATTACAATTCTGGATTACCATTTGCCTCTTGGAGTGATTTTCAGGAGTCCTTCACTGGCCACAAAAGGGAGATGCTGGATAATGAAGAGAAGTTGTTTGCTAATTCTCAGGTAAGAGAATAATACCTTTGACTAGCTTTTCTTTCGCAGCTATAAGTCAAATGGAGATCCTCTATTTTTCACGAATCCAGTTCTTGATAGTAAATGAAAAGAGCAGCAAGGCTAAGGTATAATTTGGCATCTATGCATTAGGATTATCTCAATTTTCGATTGAATTTAACTAGCTATTACTTTCGTGATTACTAAAATCACTTTGTATGGACATTACTTGAAGTTATCTACTAAGTGATCTTATAGTGTAAAAATTCTTTTATGTTGTTAGTTTATAGAAGTTAAAACACTTTTGGATTTCACATTCTTGTGTGCAACCAGATTGGACAACTTGGAAATCAGACTCCAATTTTGTCACACCACTTAAGTTTACCAAAGACACCAGCTGAAATAGCTGCAATGGAGAAGTTATTGCAACTCCAAGAGATCGTTCCGTGTAAAATCCGTGCCAAACGTGGTTGTGCTACTCATCCAAGGAGCATTGCCGAGAGGGTACGACTTTTTTGAATCTGTTACCGATCTTCATTGTTGTCAGTTTCGTTGATTGAAATATAAATCATGAATCTAGATGTGAATAAATCTGATATCGTTGCAACTTAAAAAAAGGGCAGCCCGGTGTATGAAGCATCGTGTGTTTACGCAGGGTCCAAGGAATGGCCGCATCCCAATGGGTGTGATGTAGGCAGCCTGCCCTGATGCAAGCATTAGTGGCTGATTCCACAGTTCGAACCCGTATTTTATAGGTCATACGGAGATAACTTTACCGTTGCTCCAAGGCTCCCTTTATCGTTGCAACTTGTTTAGTCTAAATTCTTGAATGAAACTATATGGTGGTATTGTTCAGGTAAGAAGAACTCGAATTAGTGAAAGAATGAGGAAACTGCAGGAGCTTGTCCCAAACATGGAGAAGGTAGGTTATTCATACCTATTTGTCTTTGTTTTCTCTTTTTTGGGACTTGTGGAACCTCACTAAGTTTATGATTCATTTTTTTGGCAGCAAACTAAAACAGCAGACATGTTAGATTTGGCTGTTGATTACATTAAAGACCTCCAAAAACAGTACAAGGTATTATGGGAAAAATTAACCTGGCATAATTCCAAACTCTCTACTCTAATCAAATATATTAGGGTAGGCTGCTATATCACACTCTGTTGAGGTGCGACCCTTCTCCGGACCCTGCGTAAATGCGGCATGCTTTGTGCACTGGGCTGCTCTCTTTACTTACTATTTTAGCTGCTACCTTGCATTCTAAGCATAGTCTAATGGAGTCTGCTATGATTCAAAAGAACTTAATGTTTTCTGACACTTAACATAAATTTATATATGTGAATAATTACTTAAATTTAGCAAATACTAAATTATGTACGCATAAGAACTTTAAAGTTGAACCTATCAAGTTTTAATATTCGAGCTTTTTGACTTTTTTTTTCCTCACACATTTATCTCATAATTTGCAGACTCTTACAGACTGTAGGGCAAACTGCAAATGTGCAGCTATGCAGAAACCAGTTTCCAATCAAAGGGTTTGATTTTCTTCTGTACATGGAGAAAGGTTGAGGTTGAAGCAAGCATCCACAATAGTCTCTCTTTCTCCTTTAAAAGAAGGAGAAATGGAAGAAACAAAGCTATGTTTCTGTTTAGCAGTTAGCAGGGGCAAAAGTGGTCTAGATACTAAACCAACAAGGTTCCAAACAACAAAATTAGTGGGAAAGGCATAGTTTAGTTCATAACTATCTCTTTATTATACATGTATTCCTTTTCCCTTTTAAATGGCGGCTCGATGTACAAGGTATCCCCTGCTCACGCAGGGTTCGGGAAAAGACCGCATCTCAAAAAGTGTAATATAGATAGTCTACTCTAATATAAATATTAATGATTACTTCCAAATCTTGAACTCGCGACTTATAAGCCGAAAGCCCTTCGTAATTAATTAGTATGAATTAGCATAAGTGTCCACTTCTTTTCTCATATTTGTGTTGGATCCCAGTTTTCCCTTTTATGATCCATTTATGGACCAACCAGCATGTGGATGGCTAAGTTTGTCAATGATTGCGAGTTGCACATATTCTTTAATATTATTATATAGAGAATTTAATATTATTATTATATATATAGAGAATATGACTCAAAGCTCTAACTGCATTGGATGACCTTCGTGTCATTTTCTTTAATTGGAACCTTATCCAGTTGCCATTTTATTATTTCAATGAGCACAAAATTCGGGTAATTTCTCTTCTTGCCTTTAAATTGTCCAATATGAGAAGGGGGATGAAATATATAGTAATAGATTTTATTTACATTGAATTTGTTAGTTGCCTTGGGAATGGTGATAGCAAAATTGGGGGTAAAACGTGACAAAAGTAGAGGACAACCGAGGCACATGACTGCCCTATTGCGGTGACTTGAAGTTGTTCTATCATATACTACGCAGATGCAAACTTAGCAAGCTAGAGGACGGTGTTTGGAATTTAGAGCCCGTTTGGATTAGCGGAAAAAAATAGTTTTTAAGCACAACTGTTTTCTTAAAAGCAGGTTTTAAGTGCAGGAGCTTATTTTATAAATAAGTAATTACATGTTTGGATAAAAGTGCTGAAACTTAAGACTCGTTTGGTCATAGATTTTACCAAAATAAACTTGGGTTTTATTTGGCAAATACATGTTTGGCCATAGATTTTGCCTACATTTTAGCCAAATTCCAAATTTCAAATCCCAAAACCAGCTCAGTCCAAAATATCACTGTTATATTTTTTAAAAATTGCCCCAAACTTTTATATTTTATAAAAGAGCCCACCATTTATTATTTTGTAACGATGTTGGTTCGTCTTCTCGGTCATCTGATAGTGTATCATGTAGTTCATTATAAAAATGATAATTTTGTATCAAATTTATTAATGTTCAGGACTATGGTTTGCGATAATATAATGAATGTTATTGATAATGGTACTGTTGGATATTTGTGATAGTTTTTAGAACTTGTGGGTATAAGTCATGTTTCATGTTTTTCCAAACCAAACTTCACCCAAAACAGATGTCCAAACACATTTTCATCTTCAAACCAAATTTCAGCCAAATCAGATTTTTCAGAATAAATTTGGGAATCTATGGCCAAACGCTAGCTTAAAAAAAGTTGTTGAAGTGTTTGGTAAACAAGTGCTGGTAAGCATTTTTTCTGTTAAAAAGATAAAAATATTGCATAAAACAAATCAAGAACCTACATCTTCCTCTGCTTATTATATAACATTCTGTCAAATATCGATTTCTACATAAGCGGACCATCACCAAACATAAAACTTGCAAAAAGATTTTTACCATATTGTTTTTAAATGCAAAGCCTTAAACCAGGTTTGGGATAATCTGGATATTCCCATACCTCAAAGAAAAAGCATATAAAGAAGATCGATTTCCACTGAAAACTTGAGTGAAAATACCGAACAAGTGAAGAGGAAAGAAGATGAGGAGAGGCTTCAAAAATGAAGAAAGTGGGAGTAGTTCGATGTTTTAGGATTTATTTGATGAGGGTAGTTTTGGGATTAGTAAAAGTTATAAGGGACAAGTAATTTCATTGGTCAAAATAAGATGGCTTTTAAGCCAAAAAACGGAGAAGTCAGGGTCAGCCAACTTGTGGCTTTTGGCTTTTTTAAGCCCTTTTAAACTTTTTTTAAGCAGTTTTCTTATTTGCCAAACACTCCAAAAATCTAAAAAGGGCTTAAAAATTGGTTTGACCAGCTTTTAAGCCAATCCAAACAGGCTCTTAGTCATGGGCGTCAAGTCTGATTGATTACATCGAATAAAGAAGTAATTAAAAAATTACGAATTCATTACAAGTAATTATCTGAACTCCGTGTATATCGAGATATAATATTATAGTTCTCATTAAAGCAGTGGATATGTGGGTGGTACAACCTTATTTTACTATAGGCCAGCCAATAACTCCCAAAAAGTTTTTTAGATCCAACAGAATTGCCATGAAGATTTAGGCTTAGGTGGGATAAGCTCTTCCATTCCAAGAATACAACATTGTCCTTGATTAACAGAATTGTATTACTCCTAGGGATTAGAATTGCAATCATATTATTGCGCTTAGGAACATGTGATACACAAATGAAGCTGCAGCTAGTTAGATGTCTCGTCAGTAATAGCAATTATGTTATTTACAGCTGATTAGGGGAGTTACAGTAAGTCAAGTTAGTTAGCACTATTGGAACAAAATCGACTCAATATAATACGAATAGATTCATTCACTATAAAGCATGTTATTGTACAGATTACAAAAATCAATAAGAAAGCTATTACAATTATATCCAATTTCTCTCAACTCTCTATTTATGTTTCATCTTCATTCTTTCATCTCCATTGATGATATTCTCAAGCTTCTCTGTAAGGTTCTTGACTCAGTTGATTAATCCTCGACTTCTTTGTAGAATTCCTGTAATTAGGCTATCATTGGTATCAGAGCCACTCGTTCCTTGGCAATTATGACGAAATGTGTTCGATCAAATGACAATTCCACCAATGAAGTATACGTTGCCCCTAACATATATAGCATGTAGCAAAAATATCCAATTATAACCTAATTCGCTCAAATCAATATTAACCAAGATACTTATCTCTTTCAGGAACAAATCAACTCTCCAATACTGTTTTTCCTTTAGCACAAGCCCCCAAACAACTCGAATCTAGTCAATTAATACTTAAATAAGTCAAAACAAGCTTTAAAAACTATTCTAGTATAAAAAAAGGTTCAATCTTCACACACACACACACACACACACACACACACAT